GGGGGCTGGATCCTGCCCGTGGTGCTGAGAGGGACAGGGGGACCCTCCTGAGCTATGGGGCAGCCCCCAAAGCCTGAAGACTTGCACACAGCAGTGCTGGCTCTGCCCTGGTGCTGGGGCATCTGGGCAGCTCCCCAAGTCCCCATGCCATGGGGGGAGGGAGGAAACAGCCTCACTGTGACAGTTCTCAGCCAGGAGAGGTTTCCTGCAGCACTTGGCATTATTCAGGCACCAACACCCTGTCCTGCCTGCCCCAGCAGGGACAGCCCCAGGTTAAGGGGTGGAGGGGCCCTGTGGATGACCCCAGATGAACACAGCTGTGTCCCACAGTCACCACCTGGAGGGACTAGCACCAGTGAGTCCCAGCTCAGCCCTGAAACGCCCCTGAAGGTGCCCAAACTCTGGCTGAGCATCACTGCAGGCCCCCAGGGACTCCCACATGGAATGCAGCTGCCTCTCACCCAGGGCAGCGAGAGCCACACAGGCACCGTGTGGGAGGGACTGGAGGCCCTGGAATCCGGATTTTCCCCTGTAAGGAGATGTCCCAGACGCATCCCTCTCCTCCGCCCCGCCGGAGCGGGCGCCTGGCAGACACTGGAGCCTCCCATGCTGCAGCTGCAGCCAAGGCTGAGGGAGGTGGCAACACTCCCAGGCCGGGGAGGCAGGATCCCAGGGGAGGACTTGCCAGGAATGGGGCCAGGGGGAAGGCCGAGGAGCCCTGGGAGGGTGGTGGAGCATGACACAGGGCAGTGCTGTGCTGGTGAAGCAGTGAAGCCAAGAGCCCTGTGGTTCCAGCTGGGAGCAGCGGCTGGACTGGTCTGCACTGGTAAGGGGAGATGTGGGGTTAGGAGGGGGGTGGTGTGGGCAAGGGGAGTGCCCAGAGCAAACAGTCCCGGAGGCACAGGGGTAAGGACACCCCCAAGCAATTCCCACCCCCCAGGGGAGCTCCCAGTGCCAGCCCAGCACGGTCCTGGCTGGTGATGCCGTGTGGGAGCAGTGGGGGTGCCCAGATACAGGACCCCAAGGCTTATAAACAACCCCTATTTTATTTATACCAAAGTCTCAGCGTCCCTCAGGATGAAAGCAAGAACAGGGAAAAACCTCAGGAACATGCCCTGTGCACATGGGGACAGCCCTGGGACAGTGTCTGTGCTGGGGGTGAGACCCCTCACCCCGACGGGCGCGGGGGGCACTGGGCAGCCCCTCACCGGCGGGACC